GGGCTGCCAATGTAAAGTTTGTAGACATCCTTTTCTACTGCAGAATAATGTTTCTTTCTCTCTTTCGTTCTTTTCTTTTCTTTTATTATTTTTTTCTTTTCTGTTTTTTTTTTTTTTTTTTTTTTTTTTTTTTTTTTTTTTTTTTACTGTTCTCTTCTCTTAAGTTGTTATTTTCTTTTTTCTCTCCCTTCAGTATAGTGGAAAGTAAGTGATTGTAATAGTTTCCTTCCTTACGCCTTTTTCTCTTCTTCTTTTCTTCTTCCCAACCCTGTATGTATGTGTGGCCTTTCCCGCTTCTCTCATCCGTCATTAAATAAATAAAAAACAAAGTAGAGGCAGAAAGGAATAATAATAATAATAATAATAATAATAATAATAATAATAGCATTACAATATGTGAAATTATTACTATTCGTTCCCCTTGTATACCCACACACACAAATAATAATAAAATAAAAAATAAACAGAGTCTCTCTTCTTTTCTCCTTTTGGATTCTCACCGCACTTCTGCGATAGGCCTGGACTTACTCGGTGGAGTATAGCAGAGATACCCCACACACCACAGCAGCGTTACCGTCACCAACAGACAAACCAGGAGATATCCCAAGTGATCCACACCGCCCTTATCTCGCATATCCACAAAGAAACGTACAAACCAATTTGGGGCGAGTTTCGCAAGAACGTTTGTTCGTTCATACGGCAACTCCACATCTGCGTTTTCCTCCTCAAACTGTCGCTGCCACTCCTGCACCCGTCGCTTCTGCACAGACGCCCGCTCACGAAAGACACCAGCGTACGGATCATCATCCTGCACCTCTCGGTAGTCTGCAAGTCTGCGGAAGAAACGTCTATCGGGTGCTTTTTCATTAGAAGTGTTGGGGCCTTTATATAAACGTTGGGCTTTTGTTTCTTGTTGTTTATATCGTCCACTCTTTAAGGTTTCTGGGAATATTTGTTTCGCCTCTCGCCGTCGTTCAGAGGGAGTCTGTCTCATGCGAATACCACCACCACTATTACTACTATTACTATTACTATTACTATTGTATGGATTCGCATCTCCGCCTGTACTGTTTACTCCACATGAAATATTAGAAGCGGCGAAAGAAGAAGAAGAAGAAGAGGATGATGCCCGTCGTCCTTGTTTGGGTGGTTTTCGAATACTATCAAAGGCCGAGTATCCAAAGAAACGCAGGGCGCAACAGGCGTGAAGAGATAAACCTCGCCAAGCAATAATAGTATTAGTAGTATTAGTAGAAACCATACTACGTGTAATAGCTGGAGTGGGAATCATAACAAGTAGTAAAGCTAATGGAGATGGGACGGTGATGTACAAACCACACGTAAACGCAAGCAACGGAATTAACGATAAAATAATAATAATAATAATAATAATAATAATAATAATAAAAGAGAAGGAAAACAAACCAGATACACCGCCCTCTATGCCTGTTCCTATTGTCTTTCCCCTTTAGTAGTGAGAATAAGAAATAAAATAAAAAAGGTAAATAAAAACCATACAGTATACATCAAAAATAAGAAGATATTATAAAATACAACTTAAAACAGGAAATGAAAAAGGGAAAAGAGAATGATGTGAAAAGAAAATTCAATGGTTGGCTTACTTTTCATGTATACCATTTCCCATCTTCGTTCTTGTGATGTTTCATTTCTCCCTCTTCTCTCCCTCTATCTCTACATTTATTTATTTTTCCCCCACCCCTGCCCGTTAATTCTTCTGCCTTGCTGTTTCTTTTATCTTCTTGCAGTGTGCGTCCACACACGCCCGCAGTGCCCGCCGCTCCGCCGCGCAGAGCCCCTGCGCCAAATTGCGGTTGATTTGACCGGCCTCAATGCAGCGGCCGTACGCGGCGGCCTCCGGGCGGCACTGTGAGAAGCCGCGGCCGTAATTGGACTGCAGTTCCCGCTGAATAACAGTTCCCGATATGTAGAAATTACCCTCCATTTACTTTTCTTTGTTGTTGTTGTTTTTTTTTTTTTTTTTTTTTTTTTTCTGGAAGACTGAAGTGGATTTCTATGTTTTTCTTCTTTTTTGAGGTTTTACTTTCTTTCTGTTGTTCGTTTCTCTGCTCACATAAACGAGAGAAACACTAACGAATACAGACACCGATATGAAAGTCCCCTGCAGACCGCAAATAGAGAAATAGAG